CACTTTGAGAGTTGAGCTCTAGATCGGCGATCATATCGTTGACGTTGATCCCATCGGAGTCATCGGAGTCATCGTCTAAGTATTGCGTCGTGCTCTCTGGTTTCTTCGTGATAGTTTCTAATGCTGTAACTCAAATCAACTCTTAAAGTAAGGCAGTGACCCGTAACAAATTTCGCAACCCCTCTGGTACACTAAACAGCAAACAGGTGTCAAGTGGTTTGGATATCATTATACACATACATTCACCCAACTGCTTCTCCAGTTTATATAATAGCCTCGATAATATTATTTTTGCATTCGGTGCCCCTCGTAGGCGGTGATCAAGGGAAAGCGTTGAGTTTATTGGCTGATGAGCACCACAGTTGAACGCCCAAATTTTGAGTCTGCCCAACTCATCAGATAAAGGCGTGTGCCACTTTGTGATTTCCACCGATGAGAATGCTTCATGCGGCTTCGAACTCAGTATCTTCCCAAAAAGGGTGATGCATGATTTATACAGTCGAACAGTGCTTTGAATTGCACCTTCGGGTTCAAACTCCATGATGGCGGTGCCAAAGTAAAAGCAACTATACTCGCTCGATTTGTCCTTTTTCAGGTGAATGGGTATTATTCTCGTTAGCCGTTGTTCCAAGATCTTGATAAAGCTGGGTTCTGTGTGTTCTGCTCGACAGGCCTGGGGTTCTGTGGAGCTGGGAGGACGAGGCTGCGTAGCTGGCGATAATTGACACTTTGTCCGTACCTCTAACTGGTTGCCATAGCCCCGCATGTGGTTTATTGTCATATACCGTGACTGACTGGTCGATGGGACAGATGGTTCGATGGGACAGGGCTAATTTTTGCCGGTGAAACAGTTCCTAGCGCCTTGATCTTTATGGCCTTTTGTATGGAAAACAGGTTAGCTGTCCCATCGAGCCGTCAGTCATGGTATGCTGGTATTCGGGGATAGAGCGTGCTGATATTTCTTTGCTTTTTTGGCCCCAGACATTGGGTGATTCTGGGAACGAGGCTGAGGCCATTCATTCCTTGGAAACTTCTTTACAAAAATCCTCAGTGGTAGTCTCGTTCGCTCGGCGGGTGTAGGCATGATAGTCGAGATACATGGGATCAAGATATGGGTAGAACCAGTCTCGGGTAGAACACATCTATACGGGCCCGGAAAACGAGCATGCTATCCACGGGTCCTTCTGTGCTTATCTGGATCGCTCTCGCAGTGCCAAGCCCCACGAGCCCGCGCCTACCATATGGGGAGTCTGTGTTCTCGTGGGAGTCCAGGCTAGGGAGTCTTTACTTGGTGAGTCTGGTAGGTGTTACTCCAATAACTTACCCTCAACAAGCACTTTTTTTTTAGACTCGACCTCAGCCCTCTTTTTTGCTTTTTTGCTTCTCCAACATGCTGGAACCCCGCACATATATCATTCTCATCGCATATGGTGAGTCTCACGTTTTTTTTTTCCTTTTGATTATTCTAGTTAAATGTTGGCCAGTATTAATTACTTGGTTACGTGAACTGATTTACACCTTCTAAAGCTTGGATCCCGTTCAATTGCGTGGACGCTTCTTGCGGCTTTTGATCATCAGCAGCACCCTACTTGACTTGACTTTTCTTCGCAGATTCAGATGGTCACTGGAATCGAAACGGCGGGGCTTGTGCTGGGGGCGTTCCCAATGGCCATCGAATGCATCAAGCTTTGTATGGGCGTTGCCGATAAGGTAAACGGCATGAGGGCATATAAACTCGTCCTGGAAGATTTCATGGATGCCCTGGAGCTTGAGAAATTCGACTTTGAACAACTCTGCACCGAGCTATTGTCGCCATACTGCAAAGCAGAGGAGATCAAGTTGTTGTTGGAAAATTCGAATGCGCAGGGTGACCCTTGGGCTGCTGATCATATACAAGATATCCTGGAGCGTCAATTGACGGCGCAATCGAAACGGCTATTTCTGAAAAACATGAGAAAGCTCGATGATGAACTGCGAACCCTAGCGGACAAACTCAAGATAGATTCTACATTCACGTCGGTGAGCTTGAATTCCTTTTCGCTCGTTACCAAAGATCCGGACTTACAATTCATGACAGCCTAGTTTTAAAGACAAGCAGACCTACAAAAGGGTGTTGGCCCAACTTATACCGGCATTTAAATCGGAATTAAATAAAGAAAGCCGAGAAAAGCAGATCAAACGTGTCCAAGAACTCAATAGACGTCTCCGAACTCTGCTTCCAACGAATTTGTGTCAGGGGGGCACCATGGCAATGACTTGGATGACCGTACGACCCAAGTTAAGCCAAATGGATGCCCAAAAAAAAGTGGACCGTTTCATTCTTACACGCCGACAAGCAATATCAGCCTTCTCGGTACTCAGGGAAAACATTTATTCCATGTGTAAATGCGCAGAAATCTCGCATGGTATCTCACTTCAACTCCAGTGGCAGTACATCTCAAGCCCGGCAAAGCTCTCGTCTGATTTTACTCTCACGAGTGACAAGCAGCAACGCATCCTCACTATCTTGATTTCCAAGGAGGGAAACATCAAGCCTTGGAGCTGGAGCCAAATTCAACTCGAACCTCTGATGATGCCGGAGCCGCCGAACCAGGCGATCTCGACGCCAAAACGCCTTGTTCGCTTCGGAGATTCCACACCGCAAGCTGAAGGCTGCCACTCGCAATTTACCGTACCCAAGCACGACGCACTTCAAATTCCAAGTTCAAAATCACTGACCATACCCTCACTTACCCTCACACCTAGCATCGAATCCCTCACGCTCCCAGAGGCGCCTACGCGGACGCCAACACCCACAGCTTCAATTAAACAGTCCACCGTGGCCAATTTGCCTTTGAACAGAAGACAAGAGGGAACTCGAGGCGCAAATACAACGAATTTCCGACAATCTCAAAATGATTCAAGTAGGCAGCCTCTTCTAGATTTCAAAATACTCGGATGGTTGTTTTAATGTTAAAGTGGGTGCTGCAGAAAAACCCCCAATAATTCGACATTCCCGTTTGGATTCTAAAAGCCTGTATGTTCTAATTCAAGATTAAAAGGGCTGTATAATTGCAGTGTATGAGAAATGTGGGTTGTTAATAGCGGATTATAGACGTTCATGGATACCGCCAGGTTTGAAATCTGCAGTAAGCTCGGTATATAAAAGCAAAAGAGGCCTTAGCCCCAGCCCAATCGCAAGGGAAGAACCACCGGTGCCCAAATCAACAGAAAAACTACCTCTCCATCCGCCTGTCTCTCAAACGGCGATACCCCTGCTGCAACATTCGGCACACACGTCAGGTGCATCTGGCTCTGAGGAATTATCGTGCATTTCATCAATCTGTACTGTGGTTTTCTCGCACAGGCTCGATGATCCAGTCCTCGGTGTCCTTAAAGGCATCAGTGAGAGATCGAGAGAAGAGAAATTTTTGGTCCGATCACCCACAATTCGAACATTACGTGTGAAGCCAGCAGAGACAACACCGCTTTCTACACTTCTTGCAGATATCTCGCCTCTCCGTCGGCCATCATTGCAGTCTAGGCTCGAACTAGGAACCATGCTTGCCTCCTCACTCTTGCAATTACATGAAACAGAGTGGTTGCCAGAAATGTGGAGCTCCAAGGATATCTTATTCCCCATCAGCGAATTGGGCTCTCAGAAGTATATCCTGAAAAACCCCTTGGTCCGCGGCCTGCATCCACAACTGAACGTTACCAGCTCCTCACGACAGACTACCACATCTTCAAACCTTTGGAGCCTGTTGTGCGTTAATCCAAGCCTGATATCGCTTGGTATTGTTCTCATTGAGCTGGTGCTTTGGAAAACACTTGAGACCTTGAGAGAGGAGTATGAGGTCAAACTAGAGCATGGCGAGGCGGATATGATGCTGAATCGATATGCAATAGCTAAAAAATTGATTGAATGGGATGCAATCAGCGATGTGCACAGCTCAACCCAGTTTCACGAGGTTGTGAGACGATGCATCATAGGTATTGATCACAAGGATAGAAGTCTTGACATCAGTGGTTTTAAAAGCGAGGTGTTTAGGATGGTTGTACAGCCCCTGGAGGAGGAGCTTGCCTGTGCCGGATGGACACCTGATTGGTAGGCAAGGCATCAATGGAAGTTCTCTGTTGTTAAGCGGCATATATTGGGAGTTTTTTCAATGGTTTATGTATGTTTGGTATTTATGTGTTATCATGAATTTTTATTTGAAAGCGATATTGGGCAGCACGTCACTGATTTACATCGAGCATATATGGAAGCGTACAATTGTAACAGGGATACCACATTGTTCAGAGGATAAATATTGGCACTCGCCGGGCTATAAAGCGTGATGCATCGCTGGATCCCCAGCAGGGGAAATCCTAAATGATCATTCTGTGGGTATATTGCCTTCCATCAACACGAGACTATCCATCACCTCCCACTAACATTTGTCGTTGAGGAGTGGTTGTTGCTGCTATCGATTTGTTAGCGCGATATCCCGGGCCCTATTTGGGTAGTCACTTCTTAGTTGGGCTCACTATTAATATTTCCAACGCCCCTGACCAGGATAAGTAACTTGGAAAAAAATTGCCATGCCCTCTAACTACATGTATCTATCTATGCCTTTCATGATATCATGCACACCGCACTCTGAGCTTCGGGCATATTCATTCGATACTTAAGCTTCGTAGGGGACGTTTCAGTGATTTTATTTTTTCCTTGATTGATCGATCGATCACGGTATCAGTTGATCATGCTTCTCTACAATTATCCACATATTCATACCTAAGCTAGCGATTCTTCAAGCGCCTATTCAGGTATTTTCTGGTGGTAGGCATGGCATGTACAGGCACTCGGGGAAGCTACTATGGTATACCAGTAGGCCTCCTTCCAAGCTGGGTCATTCTGATTCTGTGATGCGTGAGGATGCGAGAAATCAAAGTTCGTAGAAGAGACTTCCCAAAAAAAAAAAGATAGGACTCGTGAGAAAAGGACAGCAATCCCGCGTACTCACTCTGGAAACACTCCCGCTTTCTTGGCTCAGTTGGTAGAGCGTCGGTCTCATATTCAGCAGATGATATGACGCAGGGGATTCGAGACCTTGTGATATCCGAAGATCGAGAGTTCGATCCTCTCAGAGAGCAAGTGACTTTTTGTTTTTTTGTTGTTTGTGTTAAAGGGGATCCGGATGTGAGGGGTTAAAGGGGATCCGGATGTGAGGGGAAGAGAAAGGCTTGCATTGAAGGTCGCCAGGTGAGGTCGAAAAAACCACCAGTGCAAAAAAAAAAACGGACGAATTATAAGCAAAATTTCAAGATCCAAGATATCTTTGACTGATTTTTCAGAGTTAAGTGAGGTGATGAGTGCGGCAATAGCCTCGCCCCCCAGCTATAGGCGTGGGGCTTGAGGGTAACTTCGCCTTGATTCATTCAGATAAAAAAAAAAAAAATTGCATACATGACCCTTGGAGTTACAGATTACTGAGGGACAAAAGCACAGGCCTATATAAAAACTCAAGAACACACGCACAGGAATTGTTCCAGAACACACGATGAGAATTACATGTACATTTACAGCCATCGATATCTCCAAATTTCCAAATGTATTATCATAATCACCAAATATCTATATTAAAGGTAAAAAGAGAAAAACATATACGCAAAGACAGCACAACACACAACTCAACAGCTCAACAACAGATATCTTCGGATATATGCAAATAATGCATCCACCACTTCTTAGCCACCTCTCTCCACATATAATATGAACCCCTCCCACCCAAAAAAAAAAATGAAAAAGAGAAAATGAAAAAGAAACTAATATCCGCACGGCAGTTTCAAATAGCTAGAGCTTCATTTCCCTCTCCCTCTCCCTCTCTCTCTCTCTCTCTCACACCACACCGACCTCCTCAAGCACCAAACATCTTCAACGCAATCGTCGGCCTCTCCTGCTGCAACGGCCCGCCACCTCTCCCATCCTCCTGCCCGCCGCCAGCACCCCCCCCACCACCCGCCCCAGCCCTCAACACCTCCTCCAAAAACGCCCTCTGCGCGCCCCCCATATTCGCCACAACCTTCTTGAACACGCCCTGGTCCCACGCAACAAGCTCTAGTAATCTCGTCGCAGTCTCGCGGTAGAGGCTCACGCTTCCACCTCCACCTCCAATCCCGCTGCCTCTATATCCAGCCGCCCCGCCAGAATAATTAGATGCCGAAACAGCATTCTCAGCCTCCTTCGCCCGCTTCAGTAATGTCGGAACGAGTAGCGCGAGCCCAATATCCCTCTTCTCCCCCACCTCAAGACTCTTGACGAACGTGGTCATGATCAAGCACACCCCCGCCTGCGTCTGCGTCCTAAAGAGGTCCCCGCTGTCGAGGTTCGTGGTGACGTACGTCACCAGCCGGGGGAGGATGTACCTCACAATTTCCTTGTCGCAGAGCGTCTTTGGGTTTGGCGTGAGGAGGAGGGAGCGGAGACAGTGGAGGGCGGTCTTTGAGACCTCACGGTCGTCGGAGGAGATGGATGAGAGGATGATGTCACAGAGGCGCGGGATTTGCTCATCATTGGGCGGGAGGGGGGTGCGTGCTGTGACGACGATGGTTGCGGCCGTCAAGCAATTTTTGACGGCAGGGATTGCGAGTTCGGCGGCTTTGAGTCTGATTGCGAGGGGAAGATTGTGGATTAGTATAAATTTAAATAAATAGAATTGAATTCAGGAATGAGGGAAAGAAGATTTGAGAGTTAGGGTTAGGGGCATGATGAATATTTTTTGCATGCTTACCTTGCGTTACTGAGAATATTCACAATATTCCCAAGACATCCCCGAACTTGATTCACAACCAGATCCACATCATTCCCGCTCCCACTCTTTGTAATGATCGTGATAAACCGCTTAAATATCGGTAGAGCTCTCGGGACAATCTCCGCCTGACAGACCCCCGTTCCGAGGATGGTCGTGAAAATATGTAGGATGCATGCATATAAATCCATGCGGATGACTGAGGGGAAAACCTCAGCTGCATCGACCAGGGCGTCCAAAGAAACCCTGACCAGGTTCGTTGCTTCTTCTGAGAGGGCGTTGCGGACTACATGGATTTAGCTTCAATATTTTTAAAAAATGAGGATGGGGGGAAAAGTGGAAATGGAACATACCAGGCGTCTTTGCATCCACCAAATTCGGCAAAACACCAGCCAAAACCAAAACGATTATCCTCGTCAACTCAAAGAGCTGGTCAATATCCTCCGTCAAATTCTCTCCCTGGTTACTCCTACTCAAACATTAGTATACCCCACCAAATGCAAGAGAGAGGGATTACTCACAAAGCCTTTGACCTATTCCTTGCCGTGGGATGGCCTACACACAAACTCCTCGCAATATCCACAATAGCCAACTGCACCGCCAACCCCTCCGTCAAGACCAACCTATCCAACAAGTCCATCGTCTCCGAGAAGATAACCTCCTGGTAAACCGCATACCCACACACGCTCGGATGCAAGATCTTCTTAAGCGCCAGCAAAATCTCAAGGGTCTGTTCTTTTGTGGCAAGATTATCCCCCGGACGGCCTACGAGTGCTTCAAATGCGATACCAAAGAGGACAAAGAAGAAAGCGACGGGCTCGTCACGGTAGTTGATATCGTGGCCAGCCTCGCGGGTATCGGAGCCAGAAGTCATTTTCCCATCCAGGGCTTCAAAGACAAAGTGACTGTCTTGCTCGATGAGACTGGCGATTGCGTCGACAAGGTTGAGCCAGGAGTCTTGGTAAAACTAGAAGCAGAGAGTGATTAATATTGAAATGAAATTTATTTTCAATCGATAGGGTTGCTTCTTACCTTGAGTAAAGTCTCACGATTCAATGCGGAATAAACAGCATCAATTGATCCACCAACAGACCCGCCGCCACTATTCGAGATGTCCGGCTCGAATCGGAGCCTGGCAAAGTCCCTCAAGGAGGACAGCCATAGAGGAGCCAAAGTTGTGATATGTGGCTTGACGACATCAACGAGATACTTTTGCTCTGCGGATGCAACTTGCAATTCTGCCCAGGCTGAAAATACGGCCATCTTGACCATGACTTGGGCATTGGAGCTCAGGCCTTGAAGATCACCAATTGTGATAGTTTCAGTATCACCTAAAGATATGGTTAGTACATCATATAGACATGAATTTATCGGAACATACTAGAGAATGTTTCCAATGCCGACACCAAGAGCTTCAGAATACGACCCATGCGCTCAACATCCTTAACAATCCCCGTGGCGATGAATCCACCGCATACATTGACTGCCTCGGATGCCAACTCCGGCGACGAGTCCGCGGCGAACGCTGGTGTAAGTGCAGAACTAATCTGTGCTTGATATTGCTCCAATAGCGTAGCCTCTGCAAAGTCTGGATCGGGTGTATGTCCAAACATCTAAAAACAAAATTAGCAATTTGCTGATATGAACAGAGCATACTTTCAGATGTTTTACATACTTTGAGTACCTGGTCAATAATCCTCAGCCCACACAATCTCAGCTCCACTACATTCGACGTCGACGCCGAAAACGCCATCTTGATAATATCTGCAACCTTCTCAATCATCCGCTGCTCCGTCCTACCCTCAGGATTCGCTAAAATCTCCTTCCCAACAATGGAAAGCAAATCCCGAAGACAGACCATTGCAAACGTTCGGACCTGCCATTTCAGATGTTCCTGTGCTCCAGCTTGTGCGGGCTTTTCTCCAGCTACGACAGCCCCCGTCGCAAACCCTGCAGCTTCTTCATCGTTAAGTTCCATTGCTCCACTACCTCCTCCAGTCTGGGGCGTCTGTCCATCTTCAGGCTTATCACTCTTCTTCTCGAAAGTCTTGGTCATGATGGTTTGGCATCGATCGACCCATACCCTTGGATCATCCAACGCAGTCTGCGAGACCCAATTTGCAATAATCTTTCGAATCCCATCGTGATTTGGTGTATTATTCAACGCGAGCCAGAGACCTTCCTCCAACCCACGATCCGCGAGGGAAGCAACCTTCGTTGCATCTCCCTTCATCAATTGATATAGCCCATCCACAGCAACATCTCGGAGCTCCCACTCTGGAGATGCCAGCTCTTTTTGCAGTCGGCGCACATAGGCTGGCATATCCACGTAGCTCGATGCAAACATGATGAGATGTTCCGTACACCTGAGCCCCTCGAGGACGACCGTAGGATCCGCTTCAGACATAAACTGTCCGATCAATGTCAGGATCAAATCTCTTGCCTTTGCCATATCCTGCAAATCCGGTCCGAGAACTCCGATCAGAGCATCAATGCATCTGGCAATGATATCAATAATCGGGAGTTCAATCTCCAAATTCGAATTCGCTATCGACGCCACCTCAATATCATGTGTATCCGCAACGTAAAGTCGAGCTAGGATCCCTAGCGTACTGGACACAAATCCAGAGAATGTTAAACCCGCGGAATCAATCACTCTGACCAAACCATCTAGGGCCCAGAAATGTACCGATGGATGTGGATCATTTGCAAGGGACATGAGGATTCCAACAATAGTCTTGAGATGGAACCCAGCTGCCATGCCGCCGACGTAAGAGTGGATACACCCTAAAGCAACAGCGCACCCTGCTCTGGCGTTAGGGTCACGATTGCCTACCACGGTATCTCTCAAGTAGTTGATCTCATTTCCCGTAAAAGCGTTCCCGCCAATGCTGCAAAGTCGTCCTAATGCCTCGTATGCTACATTTCGAACATATGGATCAGGGTGGAGAAGGAAGTTCTTGTGCTCGTTAGCCTATGAGCGATACGTGAGAATGAAATGTTCTTACATGCAAAATCTCCTGAATGGTCTTAAGGACCGAAGGTGTACTCAGGTTAGCGGATGGAATTTGATCATTCATCACAAGCTTCAAGGATCCCAATATAGCAACTGCGACGTTGACAGTAATAGCTGCCTTCCTACCAGGATCTCTATCCAGACTTTTAGAAGCCAAAAATGTCGCAAGCTGCTCAAGAATACTTTCTTGGACTTTCGGGGGTTGCATTGGAAGTAGAATTGAGAAAAGATCAATTGCCGAGTTCACAACGGCAGTTGCTGGAGGCGCAGGAGTTGGATCGAAAGCGGTTGGAGAATTATCCGTGATATATAATGCAACGGAATCATGT